AAGGTTGTTTTTAGTCATGTATGTAGTTTCAAACATCCCAGTGAAGTATCACTGCTTGCTTGCTTGCTTGATTGATTGCTTTTAACCTGTTGATTTAAACCAATAGGTAAGCCCAGGCATGCAAGATGAACTTTTATCTGAATATCCTCAAACATCACAAATGCCCTGAATCTCAAGCCTATTTTGCATGTTTACAAATAATTCTTTATAGTGGTGTCTAAGGAAAAAAAGTCAGGGCGCCTTACAAGATTAATTGTTTACTGCTGTGCAGTTTCTGTAGTCAATGGCATACAGAGACGTGTATGATCTAATTCAGCTTATATTGATGCATTCTGTTTAAAACTTTATGCTGACCAGTTCCTGCATATATTTATTCCTTTACAGACAACTTGGATGAGGAGGACAGTTATTAAAAATTCAGAGTGAGGCTGAAGCTCCAGGATTTTCATTCACTTCTTCAAAATCACTATTCCTGTGTAGGGGACCCAGATACATCCTGACTGCTTCTCCTGTTTGCAATCTAGATCTTAATTCAGCAGTTGTATCTTGAGGCCCTGCCTAATGGCATGGCTATAGAATGTCCTCACTGTGTTGTTGCCATAAGAATACTTGAAGGAATCCTTTAGGACTAAAGTAAAATAGGTTAGGTTTATAGCTAAGACTCCTGCTGTTCTGGAATACAGAATTCAGAAGATATTTGATCTCACCGTGGATGTGATAAATTAATATTGCTCCCTTATATACCACAGCATTGAATAATTAGAGTCTACAGACATGTTTTTGAACATGTATAGGTACTTTTAAAAAACAATTACTTTGTATTGAAATCTTGGTACCTATTTCAGGTGGATATGTCCAAAATATCAAGGGTGCTTTATGAATTTAGTTTTTTTTTTTTTAATATGAAATGAGTATTTCTGGGGACTAATCAGAAGACAAAACTCCAACCTACCAAACTAGGTGTCTCTCACCTAGCAAGTAGAGGCTGAGAACCTTCAGAGGGTTACTTTCTCTGATGATGACTAAAAGGAGACAAGGAGTGTGGCCTTGCAAGATTTAAGGAAATCCTTGTTAATACATTATCACCAGTACATACCCAGATAAAATATCTCCATTTCACTTGGACATGTCTCGTTTATTTTAGTACTCCTAATGTGATCATTTCTGTGTTGTAACTGAATTCTTGATTATGGCTAAAGGGGGTATTCTTGGATTCACATAATGAATGCTTATTGTATTTACTGTTTTAATACCTATGGCTGATTGTGTTCTTTATATATCCTTTTTTATATCCTTTTTCATAAATTTAGTCCGTATCTGTTAGCCTCAGTACTTGAAGAGTTTAGATGATCACTTAAGTAATTCTGCCCCAAATATTCTTTATAATTTAATGATCAGTTTTCAGATGGGAGACACTAGTGCAACTGTTGCGTAAATGTTTGTAGCACTTCAGTAGTATAAACAAAGTGAAATTCAAAACCTTATCAGAATAATGATATATCTTTGTTTAAGCTACCACTTCAACTCAATAAAGTGTGAATGTTGTTGAATTACTGTTGTCTTTGTTAATACTGTTGACTGTTGGCGTATACCCACAAAAGACCCCACTGCAGACATGTTCTTGAGTCTTTACATTGTGTGGCTAATAAAAACATATTATTTTGCATCTAGACACCTTGGAGTGCAGAAGGATCTGTAATAACCATGAAGGTCATGGTCCCCTGCTGATGCAAAAGAACTCCTCCATTAAAAATAATGGAGATATGGTGATTTGTTTCAACAGAGAATCTGCCCTTAGATATGTACTGTTTTGAATGAAAATCTGTCAGAAAAGATTTTCTGCACATGCGGTTTTTGAGTCATGCAACTAACGCTACATGCCAGTGTGTGAAATAAATAGGCATGTATTATTGGCAATACTCAGCATTTGTCTTCAGGCTATGCAGTGTTAATTAAAAATGCTTGTTTTCACTTAGTGGAGTATTAATAATAATACGACAGTACTTGTAAAATTTTCCATATGTTAAAAGTGCATTGAAATAGGAGCTGGATATTTCTTATAATATCTTCACAAGGGAGCCATATAGTTGTTATTATATATATTTTACAGAATAAAACTCTAGCTGAGTGCAGGAAAACTGAAAGGAGTGAGCTCAACTGCATGACTTTTGAAATCCAGAGCCTAGAAAAATGTGCATAATTTTCCTAGCCATTTCTTTAACTCAGTCACCCTGTACAAGAATGAACTACTTCAGGATAGACTTGCTTGTTTTTAAGTACAGCAGTCATGAGAAGAATGTTAATTGACAAACAGATGCAGAGCATTGCAAACACAGGCATTATCTGCATTACTGGAAAGTGGAATATTGCATAGAGATGTTTTAATAGATCTTTTAAAAATATTAAATACAGAATTTTGCAGCTGTAAAAGTATAATCATAGTGTAGATCTTGAACTGTTACTGTTGTATATCTGAAATGGAAGTCTGCAGAGGAGTATAAACTTAAAGGAGTAATTCAGCATTCAAATGTACTTGGGCCCAATGGACAATACCTTACAGAAGCTGGACAAAATGGCACAAGGCCATTCGTATTTAGAAGTATTTAGAGTAGACTTTGTCATCAGGTGTCCCCCTGACTTTAACAGACTGTACACAATTTTGAAATATTTAAACCCTTGTAAGAAGGGTTGATCCAGACAGTAATGTGTTCTTTTGATGTTTAAATATCTAAGAGAATGAGAGTTTGCAGTTTTGAGGTTACCCACGTTCTGAGCCTGTCCACATTCTATAGTCCAAAGCTGCTTTTTACAGTGTATTTAGTTCTTGGGGAAAACACAAGGTGAAGAATAAGTTTAATTATTATTAGTTTTGCTTTCTAGACATTGTCTATTGACAATTACATTAAGAGTTTGCAAATGAAGTATTTTTTCCTTGTTCACTGCTCAATATTTTTATGCCCCTTGCTGAGTGAGGTTATTTCATATTAGCTGCCTCAAAGATTTAGGTTTGCTTAAAGCGAGTTGTATCATTAGTTGCCATCTTTGAAGTTACAGCTTACTAGACAACTTAAAAAAAATCCCAATATTTTACATTGATTTTTGTCATCTTAGAAAAATAGGCTCTAAATATAAAGCTTTTAAAGGATGTGCCAATGTGGAACTGCATTTTTGTCATCTGAAAATCCATAGGCATAAGATGAGTTTTATCCACAATGCTTTTACTGGTCCTGTTTACCTCACAGTTTAGAAGGGATTGATTTGTTGCAAAGGCTGACAATAGCTTGGAAAATGTAGTAGAAGAGTCATTATTTACTTCAGTTCATATACAAGCATTGGTATGAAATATGGTCCCATTACTATGAAATAGAAAGTCATTATGTGCCTTCAGGGATTCCTTGATGGTTTCAAAGTGAAGTTCAGACCTCCCTCCAAGACCCGTGTTTGACCAGCTGTTCCCTGCAAAGACTGTGAGCAATTTCAGAAAAGTAAAGTAATAGGAAAATTTCTAAGTCACTCTGAATATATAAGCTTTATCTTTTGAAGTAATTTTTCCTTTAAGTTAAATATGTACTAAACATTTCAAGGCATTTATTACATGACACATTCACTTTTAATGTAAAAAGTTCTTTCCTGATCTTGTCTAGTCTTTGCTTTAGTATTAAGGATATTGTTCTGTTCAAATACATTGCTACTTTTGTTTTCACTAGTATTTATTTTAGTATGATTAATAAAATGGGAGTCATGTTCATAATAATAGACTCCCTAATGTACTATAATTGAAGCCCAAATACCATAACCAGTATACATAATTATTTCTTCAACATTTCTGAGAATCTGGTCCTCTCCCTGGAGGTGTGTACTGACTTAAAACTTCATGCAAAGATACTTTCACTGTTTCTGGTTTCTTTCCTTTGGACCAGGGCAGTCCAAACTAGTGAGTAATGAATGACTTCTTTAGAGAAACAAAGTTCATCAGACATTTTGTATTTTCATATAGTTTCTGTACGAACATGAAAAAAAGATTATTCAAAACAGCTAGTAGACACAGAAATACTAAGGTAATATTGTATAGAAGAAAGGTTGGCAGTACAGTAAAACTGTTAATTACACTTCTCAAATAACTAATAATGATGTAACCACTTTGCTGATAGATATAAAAAAAAAAAAGGCCAAGATTGTTTGTAAGTATACAACTGATTCTCTGAAGAACTCTCAAAAATCTTCAGAACTCAGTCTTCTATTGTTGCTGAGAACTAGTGTGCTGTTAAATGAAGATATTGACCATTTTCATTGACAATGAATGTTTGCATTGCAACATTTTGAAACTCACCTGTTTTGTTTTACAGGGGTAAAATAATATATGCTGTAGACTAAAGCAATACCAAACTGCATTGCGGGCATCTGAATTTATAAATGGCTATAGAAACATAATATGATTTGTCATATGAATTTGGTGATAATGGATTGGCATAAATAATAGAATCATATAATGGTTATAGTTGGAAGCAGTCTTAAAGATTATCTAATTCCAACCCTGCTGCCATGAGCAGGGACACCTTGCACTAGACCGCGTCACCCAAGGCCCTTGAACACTGCCAGGGATGAGGCATCCACAACTTCTTTAAGCAACCTGTTCCAATGTCTCACCACCCTATTACATTATATTGCCAATAAAATAATTATTACATTAATGCTGTTCCATAAATAACCCTACACTATAAACAGAGTATTACAGCAATTCAGAAGAAAAAAAAAAAAGTGTTTAATTTCATTTGGCTATACTGCTAATAAAGCATATGTTTTGATTCAGCAGATTATACTTATCATTAGAAATTGGCATTCTGTAAATATTGTGGTACTGGTTCCTGAAATGTATTAAAATTCAAAAAATTCCTTAAGCATATATGATTTAAGAAATGCTGTGATGAACTGAGACCACAAAGAACATGCTAAGAGATCACAAATAACTGTTGTTGTGTTTTCTGTCGTATTTATTACAGACAGACAAGAAAGAGAGAAGGAATGCCTTGAATGTTGCAATAGACAGTATGTGCAAGAAGACAAGAGACCTCCGCAGACAGGTAAGCAACCTGGGGAACTGAAAAGGTAGGAAAGGAGACTTGAGGGATGCTTTTCCAAATTTCTTCTTTCAGGTTTTGTAGAACTGCATTTTGAAAATAAAGATTTCTTCTATGTTAAGAAAATACTGAAGACAATTGCACTATTCCACAGAATATATGCATGCAAATTTTCAGAAGTAAGGGGAAAAACCCTAGCAAATGATACCAGCTGAATTATATGTATGTACATAAACAAAGCTCTTCATGTGTACGTGTCTAAATATGTATTCGCTTTAGAAATATACTGGTAATGCACTTTGGACATCAAGAGAAATTTTATTTTAAATAAGATTGAATTATTACTGATTGTTGGAACAGATACCTTGAAAGGATCATTGAGTCACTATGTCTAGTTCTATACAGTTGTAAAAACTCATACAACAAAAAAGGGTCCTTGGAATACCTGGTTCACAGTCCACACACCCATTTTTCATCCCAATATCCTAAAACTAATGTAACACATGCACCAAAATCTACAACTTCAGTGTACTGCAGACATTGAACAGTAGACATTAGCTGTGTTTAAATCCTTTCTCTTCAAGGAACATGTTTGAGAAAAATTGTAAATTATGTTGAAAGTATAAAATGTGCCACTTCAGAAAAATGACCTAGAAAGCCAGCAGTTCTTTTAGCAAGGCTGCCCCAAACAACTATATGAAACTTTATGGCTGCACAAAACATGAGCACACACTGCTTTCATGCTTTCTCTAGCTGTGGCTATTTGTCAGCTCCCTGATGGAAGAATATCCCTCCCAACTTTGTGAACAGTCCTAGAAGCTAGCCTGTGCTTCAAGGTGATGAATAACTTCCTTCATGTCCCCCAATAATCAACCACAGCCAGCCTTGAAAGATGATATGAATATAATATAAATCTAGTGTCTACAACTAACTAGCTATCTAATTTCAGAAATATGTTCAGATCAGATATCCAGAATCTTAGATCACAGGCTCAGTGTGTCTAGGAACATTTATTTCCCTTCTGTCCTACCGTCATGTCCATTACTTAACCTTATAACAGTTTACTGACTCTATTACAGTGTTTAAAATCTACTAAATAATTCAATTTGTGTGTTTCTAGAAATTTTTATAAAACGCTGAGGCTGAATGTAATCATTCCCAATTTACAGTCAATCTAGAACCAGTAGTTTTCTCAAACCAGAGTAGCTGTATGCTTTCTTGACATTTTCCACTGGAAGGCATTTATGAGAAATACTTAATCTACTTCATCCTGTTCTGTATTCATACATGTGAATTGCATAAGAATTGTTTTAGAAGGAGTGCTTACTACATGTCTAATTCCTGATCTGGGAAACATGAAATTGCAAATTCTATGCCTGCAGGTATTGCAGTAGTCTTACTTGCTTTCACTTACAACATTCATTATTCTGCCTCTCAGCACATGAACACTGTTATTTGGTGTCGTGGTTTAAACCCAGTCAGGTAACTTGTTCACTCACTCCCAGTGAGTGGTGCCGAGCTGACAACAATCGAGGTCCGTGTCCCCCCCGCACCGGGGCTCTCCCCTTCCCCGCTCCTGAAGGAACGGGGAGGAGGATCAAAAGAGTGCAACTCCTACGGGTTGAGACAAGAACAGTCCAGCAACCGATGTACAACACAAATCACCACCGCTACCATCAACTACAACAATGATAAGGGAAAATAACAAGGGAAGAGAATACGATACCACCGGCCAAGAAAACGAGTTCCACCCGGAAGCCCGTGTCCTTCCGGGTAACTCCCAGTCACCCCCCACCCCGGCCATGACGTGCTGTGGTATGGAATACCTCCCTGGCTAGGCCGGGTCAGGTGCCCCATCTCTGCTTCCCCACAGCTTCCCCTCTTCCCTGGCAGAGCATGAGCCTCACAAAGTCCTTGGTCAGGGTAAACATCACTTAGCAACAACTGAAAACATCGGCTTCACCAACACTGTTCTCAGGCTGGAAGTCAAAACACAGCACAGCTACCACAAAGGAAAAAAAGAAATAAAAAAAATACATGACTGCTACTGCTGAACCCAGGACATTTGGTCTACGGTTACAGCTTTTATAATACTTAATTTTTTTTTGAATGGTATGGAGCACCACAGCTTGTCTCATATAAGGCACTCATACTAGGCTTGGGGCTAAGATGTGCACAACGTAGTTAGATTTTAGCCAATTACTGGGATACCTCTGCAAAGCTGGGGTTGAAGATGAAACCATATGAAGGTATATTTTTGAAATCTCTTCAGTGTTATGTACAATAAACAAAACTGTCATATAAGTGCTGATGCAGTCACCAGCTGACAATGAGTTATGCTATGGGTCCCTATGGAATGTCTTTGTAGACCACAGTAAGTAAAAGCAAAGGAAGGCTTCTTGTATCTGGCAAGACTCAATGGCAAAAGTAAGTATCTCAAGAACAGTGTATTCTGCAAGTTTTAAAAATCTCTGTCTTTTCAAATGAAGTTATTTGTATTCATTCAGGAACTTGGCCAGCACTTGTGGGGATTTTAAACTATTCTTTTTTGTTTTGATTTGTATTGGTATTGTGCCAGAGATGTAGCATGTCATTTCTGTGTGTGCAGTTTTACCTAGATCACTGCTTCCCTGCCTAGTAGAGCTGTATGAATATTTAGGAAGAAATTGCCTATTCAGTCCAATTTCTACTTCTGAGAAATTACCATACTCAGTTCTTTCCTCCCAGTTGTTTTCCAGCATACCGTGAATAGACTGCACAGATGTTCCTCCTATTGTTGCTCCAGAGTTTTGGTTGGTTGTTGTTCTTTTTTTTTAATAGATGTGTTATTCCTGATGATATTCTTATATTTCTGTGTTGCTTTTTCACCATGGATAGCTTTTTCTGGACATAAAGAAGATTGCCTTCCTGGCATTCCTTTGAAACAGCAGAGACAGAGCCATCAATAAAACTAATCTTTAGTTTTTCCAGGACTTTTGCCAATGTAGTCTTGTGAAGCAATAGGCAAATAGAGGCAAGCACTGTTTTCTGTACTCATCAGGATACGGATACTTAATAGCTTTGTAAACAGCTTCTGGGATTTTCTTCTCTACCCTCCACTTTTTTTGGACAACCTTATGCCCCATCTTTTATAAACAGCATGTTTCTGTGTTATTTTTCAATGCACTTCAATATCAAAAGAAAAAAGCTCCATGCTTCCACTTCTGTAACAATCTGCTCAAAGGGTAAGAATAAGACCTTGCAACTTAAATATTAATTTGTCCAATATCGTTCTCCCTCTATCTTCCCTCTTCTGATGGTGTCTCTTTTACGTAGAGGTATGAGAAAAAAATTAATTATCGCACAGTAACTTCCTTAGTTACTTAGTTCCTTAGCCTGCTAACACTGCTGGTGCTATTCTTTGTCACTTTATGTGTCTCCTGGTATGGCTACTTAGCTTTTAGCATTTTGCTGTAGAGGTGGCCAGAGTCAGAAACAGACTTATCGAATAGTGAAAAATTATTGTTTTAATTAGGATGAAGAGAAATAGATACTGCTTCAGATACTCCTTTTTTCTTTTGGCTTTTTCCTTTCTTTGTTCTACATTGTATTTCTTCATTCTTTAATGCTGTGCAAGACATCTTTTGAAAATCTCAGCCTCATGTATTGCTACCCATAGCTGAAATGGGAACATAATTTCAAACAGGTTTGTATTCAGCAAAGACACAGCATTATCTTGTGTTTTAAGAAGATGCTTTTTACCTTTTAATTGCAGGAGAGAGTATTTTTTAGAACAAAATAGTAATGACAATTTATATGTGAAAGGCTAATTAAACCAAGTAAACCAGTGAAAAGCTGCAGCAAAGAAATATGTGATGCGACATTATATTAGGCTGCTGCTTTGAAAATTGGATGCCTCGAGCTCGCCACAAATGTGACTAAGGTTATTGCAGTCACTGGTTCTCAAATAATCAATGAAGGCTGCAAAAGTCCTACAATCTGGGCTATGCAGAACACAAAAATGTTTCTCTTAGTGTAATGGATCACTGGCCATGGATATGGTTTAACAGACTTCTGTTTCTGATTATTGTAAATTGAAATCTTAATTTTTAAACTGTGATTCCACAAATTAAAGCTGGGAATGTGAACATGACACTAAAAATCTATTTTTGTCTTGGAAACCTATAGCCTCTGCCTGTGAAAATTACTTTTGAGAACATATCCAGATAGTATATCCTAATGTGGTAAGTTACAGTAAGTCAGAAGGTAGATAAAGGTTCCAAACATAAGCTTACCTGCATTTTTTGGAAGAGTTGTTTGTCACATGTGCCTGGTGAGTCAATGAGAACTGGCTTTAGAAGGTGAGTTTACCCAAAATCTAGTGGAGGAATTCATATCTAAATCTTGTCTTGATAATCAAATGACTTATCTACTATTATTTTTGTTGTGCATATTCACTGCAGTACCTGCAAGGACAACAGCATGAAAAAGATTGTGGTTTCTTACATTTTTCTGGCTGTGTGACTTTTTACTTCTACTGAGTTTCACATAGATATATTGGAGCAAAATGCCAAGTAAAACCACCTCCTTTGGCAACAATGCTGTCAGCATTTAAGAGCTTAAAAAAAAGCCTTTTGTGTTCTTTTCTGTTCCAATCCATATCTTTTCCATATATTGTAAAAATTTTTTTGCAGTAGGAAATTCAAGTTGAAACTTAATAATTTAGTTGCATTGCACGTATTGTTACAATTGGTATATTTCTTGTAGTGTTCTGTGATTAAAATGAATGATTGCCATGTGTGGGTTTATAACATGGAATTAGGTGATGTAATGTCCCAGTGATCAGTTGTAACTTTCCATGAAGCCTAATCTCAGAGATGTAATTTGTTCTTCAATAACTTTATAAGTTCAAGAACAACTAATTTAAGTAGAGAAAATTGAACTTCAGACACATTTATAGTTCTTGCTCTATTACTCTATGTTCAGGTGGCATAATCAGTAATCTTACTGGTATAATTACCATGAAGACTACCATTTTGTAAATCAAACTGTATTGCTGGGTTTTCCAACAATGTTGAAAATATTTGGGTAATTTTGCAACTATGAAAACATGTGGTGTGGACTGTTTTCTGAGTATAAACATAATATTTTCTTTATAAAATGAAACAGCCGTCTCCCTTGGCATCTGAACTTCAAGAAGGAGTACCCAGGAGACATTTAGGTTTGGTCTAACAGTAATTTTTCATATGTGGAATCATGCTGTTCATCAAGGAACATGAATATTTGTTTGGCTCCGTTGATTTCAACAGAAGTACTACATGTTTGAAGTGTTTTATGTATCTGTGCTCACACACACATACACTCACACCTACAAACTGGCATATTTAGGTAGTGGGATATTAAAATTGTCCCTAAAATTAAATAGTTTTCTGTGTAATAGATAAATTGCAACTGCAGTAGGTTTCAGACACATAATCTTGGAAATAATGCAGGAATACAGTGTGTACAGGTTTATGTTGTAAAATGCTAATAGACAGTAACTACAGTAGGCTTTAATAAATAGTCCACTTAGCAGATACTAATGTAATGCTTTCTTTTGCAGCTCCGTAAAGCCATTATAGATCATATCTCAGACTCCTTCTTGGATACCACTGTTCCACTTCTAGTTCTCATTGAAGCTGCTAAAAATGGGAGAGAGAATGAAATAAAGGAATATGCTTCTATATTTCGAGAACATACCAGCAGGCTTGTGGAGGTACGTTTGATGGAGTTGCACTTTTTTTGAATATATGGTACAAGTGACTTGCTGCTGTACGTTTCCTTTGCTGGTAGATACCATAAAGCAATTAAGCCTGACATTTCAAGAAAGAATAGATGGCCTAGGGTAAAGTAAGCATACTCTATTTTTTATATAATGGTATGGAGTAAGATAGTGGTTTTATGGTATTGGCATTTATATAGTATTTCACTGCATGGAAATTAGGTGGTGGGGAATTCTATTTAGAGAAATCAGTGTAAGATATTCAGTGGGAACTTGATCAAATGTGTGGTTCTAAAGAGTATTAGCTCAAAGTGTTCAGAAACTGACACCCAAACTATGTGAGAGACCAAATTAATGTTAGTTGTTTGCCAGCTTTCTCACTTTGAAAATTCATAGCCTGTTTAATGATATGCTGAAGAGTAGCTGGTGCTGACACCCAGTTGAGAGCCGTGAACCCTCTAGCAAACTGAAAGCATGTTCAGCATTGCTGAACAAATTCGCTCGCATACATTGTATACTCATTTCTAAAATATATACTTATTTATTACTTATAAATGACAGTCATAACTTAGCAATTTGCAGATAGAATCTGGGGGAGATCTCAGTTTGTTGGAAAATCAGTCTTGTAAATGTGACTAAATATTTACTGACTTTAACTCAGTCAAACTGGAGATGGAAACTGCTGGAATACAGAAGTCATGGATTTTGCAGGAATATTATCTCAAGTGCCTGTAAGGAATGCATTGCTAATTTTTGTGGATTTTTAAGTTTTTAGTGCTTTTGTGTGCAGTAATGCAAAAAAATGGAAAAAAACCAATGAATTCACTCTGTGGCTGAAAATTTACTTAGAAAAAGTATTTGGCTCATAATGAATTAATTAATCTTGGGTGGTCTACAGATAATGAAAGGCAAATAGGTGAATAGCTAAAGTAAAAGTAGGGTATTGTATTTATGTTTCTCTTCATGGCTATGTAGTTACAGAGTAACACTAGTTATCATTCTCTGATTTACAAGAGTGTCTCATTTTGAACATGCTGCAAAATCATATGAAAACTAAAGCAGAAACCTAAAGTTTTGAAGGTTTTAAGATTTTTAATACTGAAACTACGCCAGGTTGAAGCTTCTAGATTTTTCGCAAGGACAGATCTCTGAATATCTGATAACTTTACTGAATTTGGAATTGAGGGCAGGTCAGCTGAAATACCCAAATCATTATTTTGTAAGACATGAACCCAAAAATCCAATATTAATTTCCTTTCATGGGTTTGAATTTGTTTCCCAAATGCAAATAATAGCTGGCCATCAGGCTAGGTTTGTGACTAAAGGGGCTGATGACTGCCCCTGATACGCTGATACACTGACTAAAAATTCTACAAGGACATGTAGCAGCTGCCTGTGAACATAAGACTGCCCAGAAGACAGCTATCCTTAGTGATGTTGTATAAAAGGGTGTCTATTAAATGGTAGCCTTACATCATCTTATTCTATGTATAAATACACAGACTATGTATTAAATATAAATATTTATATTTATCTTATGATGTAATGTGCTGCATACAGTGAAGAGAATGTACTTTTAAAAATGTTGTAAGGAAGTAGCTTTCAGAGAGATTTTACCCAGTACCACCTTCTGTTGTTGAATTAGTTATTCCAGATTGTTGCTTTACCGGTGCTTTTATCGTATGGTGCTAATGAAAATGAATATAAAATAAAATTGAAATTATCTAGAACTGAAGTATCTTATTTAAAAGTTGCTTAAATTGGTCTAATGCACTTTCCAGTATCCCTAAGTAGGAGCTTGATTTATGGCTTTTTGATAACCTGTACTGCTACTCTCCAGCAAATTAATTAGTAGTTGTACTTCATCCATCAACTGCTAGCCTATCAGGCTTAAAATAAACAACCAGAAATCAAAAAAATATTAACAGCTAAGCAAGCAGTCACAAAGGGGCTTTGTATGTACAAGCAGATTTATCTGATTTTTAAGAAAAATTCAGTCATTTCTGACAGCATATTCAAAGAGAAAGAATTATGGCAGCTGTTTTGTGAAAAGTGTAATACAAATTCAATTGATCTAGAAGGATTAGTATTTAAATAAATCAGAGCTGTAAATTAGAAGCATATTTTGGTTTAAGTGGCCTGAAGCCTGTTAAACTGAGAGTATGCATATATATATATTTAAATTGACAGTTATAGAGCACTGCACTACTGCTTTAATTTGTCAAGGAATATAACAAATAGATAGACTTTGATCTTAGTCATCTTAGTTTTCACGCATGTGCGTACAAATACTTCAGTGTCCTAGGTTTGGCTGTAACAGTTATTTTTCTCCTTCTTTGTAGCTGATGCAGTGCTGTGTTTATGACTTTAGTCTGAGAACAATGCTGATAACACACTGATGTTTTTAGTTGTTGATAATTAGTGCTTATCCCAATCAAGGACTTTTCAGTCTCTCATGCTCTGCCAGTAAGGAGAGGCACAAGAAGCTGGGAGGAAGCAGAGACAGGACACCTGACCCAAAGTAGCCAAAGGGGTATTCCATACCACAGCACGTCATGCCCAGTAACTGGGGGGAGTTACCCAGAAGGCCCAGTTCACTGCCAGGGTCGGGCTGGGTATTGGTTGATGGGTGGTATTGTGCGTTACTTGTGTTTATTGGGGCTTTTTCCTTTCCCCTTTTAGTTTTATATTCTTTCCCCGTGTTAATTCGCTTATCATTATTATCATTGGTGGTAGTAATAGTAGTTTTGCACTATACCTTAGTTACTGGACTGTTCTTATCTCAACCCATGAGATTTACATTCTTCATGTATGGAGCTTGGTTTTCAACTGGACATGGTTCTGTGGGTTATGGGTACTCCATAAAAATCAGGCACAGCCAAAAGTGCTACTAAAATAGGGAACCTGATTTTGCAAGAAAGATAGAACAGATAGAAAGGAGATGAGTTGGCTTTGAATCCTCACTACTTCTATTATCCGTTTGTCTATCAAATAATTTACTTTTTCTTGGTGAAACTTATAATGTATAAACATTACCTCTGCCCTCTGTGACAGTTGCCTAGTCTTTTGCCAGGGATATGTTTCATTTGATAATACCAATTTAAAAATGGAGGCAGGACAACATATTGTAATAAATAGATGATATTGCATCTTCAAAATAATCAGTAAGCCATAATTTGAATCAGCATAGTTTTATTACCTACTCGAATATGTCCTTTATTGAAACTAGGTGATCTTGAACATCCCTTCCAACACAAACAATTCTATGATTCTATGACTCTCAGTTGTAAATAAAGCTGTTGTTGCCATATTGATAAAACCATCAGTGCTTAATTTTCTTTCCATGGTATTTCACTTGATCCAGTAATTAGCAAAATAAAATTCTGAATCTGGTCCACAAGGGCCTGAGTATTTATATAGTCAGATCTCCAGTCACTTAAAAATCAGTTTTAGTATTGCAGCCAAGCAAGTCCAGTGGTGATAGAAAATGCAGTGATTCTGGTATTACAGGGTTAGGATCTAAATCTATTTTTAAGTAAAACCATTGATATTTGTGTTGTTTTTCTATTCAAATTAAAGCTTGTACTAGCAATACTGTCCCTTCTCCACTCCCCAACCCAACAGTATCACTCCACTTGTTTCACTTGTTTTGTCTTTCTTCAAAGTTGAAAAATTCGGGTAGGTATTCTAGATTTCATTTTGTTGGTGTTTTTTCAATGTAAAACCTTATTTAGCCCATTTAATCTTAACCCAAGATAAAGAATCCCCAGTGATGATTTATCTTGATTAACTGCCTTCCTCTTCTTTGACTAAATGACTGCTTTAGTCTGGAAGTCTTAATTTCTAGATGGTTGAAGTGAGGCGAGATGAGTTGTACCATGAGGTTGGTCTATTTTGAGACATACATTAGGTTACATTTTCTTGTGCTCCATATAACAGTTTTTAATCGGGTGTATCTTGTTTTTTGGTGCATTTTTTTTACATCTGTTTTTGAAAGACCAAGGATGTTTGAATAGTAAGTTATGATATCGCTTTGTATATAAATACAATAGACTGAGTGGGACATTATAAAAACAAAAGTTCATTGTCTCACAAAGGTTTCTTCAACAATGAATTTGATATGGATATTAGAAGTACTACTGGAAATATCAAGAAAGATTTTTGGTGGCTTCCGTTTTAATCTGAAAAATAAAACTTCTCAGAAACAGTAGATCTTGAGGAACATGCAAAGTTAACTGAGCTAAGCTAAACTGCTCACTACAGTGATTCCCTGCTCATATTGTAATTTAAGAAACAAACAGTATCCTCATAGGCCAGTGGCCTTTGTAAATAAGTTTGAGGATTAAGATCTGTTACAAGTATCTTTCTCCTGAATTAACATTTGGAAGTTGCAGTCTTTCCTTTCAAAATTGAGTCAAGACATTACAATATAATACAGCTCAGGAGCATGTTTATGAATTCAGTGAAGTACAAAACACGAGTGATACAGAAAGTCTGAATGCCACATCTGGGACAGTAATGTTTCCAAAGGTAGTAGGTAATAATCTTCTTCCTTTTCTTCTTATGTTTTCTCTCTCCTAAGTTTATTAACTACTCTGTGCTCTTACTCAAGATGTTCTAGCTTGTGTTAAAAAATGCATGCACTTGGGATGTTAGCCACACTCAGCAGGAATATTAGATGGTGCTTTTTGGACACTGCTAGTACTTGAAAACCTCCAACAGTGGCAAAGAATATGAGATAGCTTGGCAAATATCTTTGCAGTATTATAGCTGCACAGTAATTGCCCAGAACAGAATCTCTTAGATGTGAATGTGAATAGTATCTTCTGCTCTGTGGAGGAAGTTAAATAGTCCTAGTTACATTGTAAAAACTAAAAAACCCCGAAACATTAAAATGTCTACTTTGGCTATTATATTGAATCCTTCCCACGTATGAAATGGACACTCCACAGCTGAAGTATCTTCATGAGTAGCAAAGGTCATATTAAAGATGC